AATATGGCTGACAATGATGACTCCTCAAAAACAGATTCAGAAAACAGGTCACAACACAGTGATACACTGCCTGATATAAGTTCTTTAATTCAAAAGGAAGTGGCAAAATATATGGCTGGGAAGCATGAGACAGAAACTAATACTTACTCTCATTTTGTTGAATATTCAAGTGACAAGGAAGATTATGCATTCTCTCTAGCAGGCTAATGCAAGTGTAAGCGTCCGGGTCCGGTTTGGAGTAGATCGATTCTTGTCCTTGCCGGTAGAACGCCGAGAACCTGCAAATAACTCTCACACCGGGGGTTGGGTCCGGTGAAGAGCCTCCGATGCTTAAGTCAGTATGTGTATGAGTATACTGGAGTTTAGAGAATGAATAGAATGTGTTAAGGAAGAAAGACTCATCCCCTTTTTATAGGGGTGAGATACCTGCCCTAATAGCTGCCCGGATGAGGATACGTGTGCTGCCCAAGCTGCCCGTCCGTACTCTGACACGCCGCGCACACGTCAGGGGTGCCGCGGGACGTTTGGGCGTTGTCAGAGGTGGTTATCGCTATCACCCAATACATTGCCGACACGTGTCCACCCAGCACATGGGGTAAATATTCTCCTGCAGCTCAGTCAGAGACCCTCACGCGCGTCTGCTACACACGCGTCTGGGCCTATGTCGATCAGCTTGCTCGATCACCCAGCTTGCTCGATCACTGGTCTGATCGATTAGCAGGTAGCTCGACCAGTCTGATCGAGCATCGGGCTGCTCGATCACCTGTGCAGTCAAGCCTCGGGTTGTTCGATCACTTGTGTGGTCGAGCCTTAGGCCGCTCGACCACGTGGACTCCCGCCTTTCGGCTCGGTTCACTTCCGGTTTGTCCTTCTCGACCGGCTCACCAAATCGGCTCGTCTTTATACAGATAATATCCTATATCACAGGCAAAATTAACAAGAGTAGCTGGATTGTGGATACAGGAGCTAGCAAGCATATCTGCTGTGAGCCTGAAATGTTGACTAAGAAAAGCTGTTCACAGTCTCCTATTATTGTAAATCTTCCTGATGGCACAAAAATGAAAGTCACACAAGTTGGTGAGGTACAGCTTAATGATAAGATTACTCTTAAAGATGTATTGTTAATACCTGCTTTCAAGTACAATCTCTTATCAGTGGGGCAGCTAGTGGAAGATAATGGGATGTCCTTTGTATTTACTGGAAAAGACTGTAAGCTAAGAGATACCAAAATGAACTCTGATGTGGCTTTTGGAAAGGCAGTAGCTGGTCTGTATGTGATTGAAGCCCAAGGAGTGTTTGTTAATGCTATTGACAAGGAAACCACAGGTGAAGAATTGGTCTTATGGCATAAAAGGCTAGGTCACAGCTCATATCAATGCTTGAGACACCTACATTTCATAAGGAACAAGAGCATCAGTGAGCCTATGAGTCCATGTGATGTTTGTCACAGATCAAAACAAACCAGGTTACCTTTTCCACTCAGCCAAATACAAACCAAACAAAAATTTGAATTGATACATGTGGATGTCTGGGGTCCACATCTTGAAGAGTCAGTACTGAACATTTCCTACATGTTAACCATTGTTGATGACTTCACAAGGGCCACTTGGATCTATTTGATGAAGTATAAAAGTGAAACTCACATCCACCTGAAGTCCTTCTTCAAAATGGTAGAGGTACAACATGGAGCTAAAGTAAAACAGATGAGGTCTGACAATGGCAGTGAATTCATCAACAGAGATATGGATGCTTTGCTGAAGGAAAATGGAATATTGCACCAAAGAACATGCCCTTATACTCCACAACAAAATGGAGTTGTAGAAAGGAAACACAGATCTATCCTTGAAGTAGCAAGATGAATATCTTTTCAGTCCAAGTTGCAAAAGGATCTTTGGCCGTATAGCTTACTTGCTGCTGTTCAGATTATTAACACCTTGCCTAGTGGGAAATTGGGTTGGAAGAGCCCCTATGAGTTGCTTCATGGACACTTGCCAGCATACAGCATGTTCAAGACCTTTGGTTGCCTATGTTATGCTAGCAAACTTGGAGCATATAAAAGGAAGTTTGATGAGAGAGCTGTAGCTTGCATATTTTTGGGTTATATATCAGGAACAAAAGGATATAGAGTGTACAACTTAGACACAAAGGAAATCTTCATTAGCAGGGATGTCATATTTTATGAAGACAAATTTCCATTCCATAAAATGCCTGTGAGGGATACACAGCAGGCAGTTTCCTCACCATTCATTGATGAGGTTGAAGAAACAGAAATAGTGACTGAGGAGCCTACTCAAAGGCTATCAGAAACTGATCATGATAGTGATGTTCCTAGAAGAAGCAGCAGACACAGAAAACCCCCTTCATGGTTGTCTGATTATGTGGTGGACATACCAGAAAATGAAGAGTTGGACTTATTTTTCTCAGAAGTTGATAGAACAGCCACAGAACCACTGTTCTATGAGCAGGCAATTAGTGATCAAAGATGGATTGATGCCATGCACAAAGAATTGGAAGCACTGGAGTCTAATAATACTTGGATTCTTACAAAGTTACCAGCAGGAAAGAAGGCCATTGGGTCTAAATGGGTTTACAAAATCAAAAGAAACCCAAATGGCACCATTGACAAATTTAAAGCAAGGTTGGTTGCAAAGGGTTTCTTGCAAAGAGAAGGAGTGGATTTCTTTGATAGCTTCTCACCTGTGGCTAAACTTGTTTCTGTGAGGCTACTTATTGCTTTATCCACTCAATATCAATGGGAGTTGCACCACATTGACATAAATAATGCATTTCTGCATGGTTATTTGGATGAAGAAGTCTATATGCTGCCTCCTAAGGGTTACACTAAGGCTAAGGCTGGTGAGGTATGCTTGTTAAAGATAAGTCTTTATGGGTTGAAACAGGCTAGTAGACAATGGAACATTGAGTTTTCAGACAAGCTTTTGGCTTATGGCTTTACACAGTCCCCACATGATCACTGTTTGTTCTTCAAGGGCTCAGGTGCACAACTTCTTATTTACTCATATATGTGGATGATGTCCTCATTGCTGGTAGTAATCTAACACACATCACACAGTTAAAGGCCTACCTTAATGAGCTTTTCACTATTAAAGACCTGGGACAAGCTAGATATTTTCTTGGCCTTGAGATCTTGAGAACAACTGAAGGCACCTTCTTGAGTCAAAGGAAATATATCCTTGATATTGTTACTGACTTGGGAATGGATAACTCTAAGCCTGTTGTGACACCACTACCTCAAGGAATTAACCTTTCTTCACTGGTTTCTCAACCTTTTGATCATCCAGAAAGTTACAGAAGACTTGTTGGGAGATTACTCTACCTAAACTTGTCAAGAGCAGACTTGTCCTATGCAATCCAACAGCTTAGCCAGTTTATACAGGCACCTTCTCAAGCACATTGGACTGCTGCACTTCATTTGGTCAAATATTTACATGGCACACCCAATCTGGGGCTTTTCTATAAGGCTATACCTTCACAGACTTTGGAGGCATTCTCTGATGCAGACTGGGGAAGTTGCACAATAACTCGGAAATCACTTACAGGATATTGCATTTTTTTGGGACAGGCATTGATTTCTTGGAAAACAAAAAAAGCAAAAAACGGTATCTCGTTCCTCAGCTGAAGCAGAATATCGTTCATTAGCTAGCACCGTTTGTGAGCTGCAGTGGCTTTCTTTCTTGGCCAAAGACTTGTCATTTCCTATTAACACTCCTATCACACTTTGGTGTGATAATCGTGCTGCTCTCCACATCACAGCTAATCCGGTCTTTCACGAGAGGACGAAACATCTAGATATCGATTGTCACGTGGTGAGAAACAAATATAAGGAGGGTTTTATCTTGCCAAAGCACATCATGACTTCACTTCAGCCAGCAGATCTCTTTACCAAGTCCCTGGGACGTGCTGAGTTCACAAAGTTCATCTTCAAGCTGGGAATGCGCATGAATGGCCACATTCCCACTTGAG